CTCGGCGCCGGGCGGCGCGGCGGCAGGGGGCGGCACGCTGCGCGCCAGGGCGCCCGGCCCGTTCGTGTGCGGTGGCGTGGTGATGGGCCCCTGGCCCCAAATACAGTACTGCCCAGGACTGGCCATCGCGCGGACGTCCATTCCCTGTGTTTTTTTTGGTTTCGTGCGCGCTCTCTCTCTCTCTCTCTCTTTTTTTTGTCCCAACCATCCTGTGGTGTTGGGTCTTCGTTTTGAAGAGACGTCGCCCCGCGTTCTCCTCTCCTCTCCTCTCCTCTCCTCTCCTCTTCTCTCCTCTCCTCTCTTCTCCTCTCCTCTCCTCCCTCCTCCCCCTCCTCCCTCCTCCCTCCTCCATTTCGGCACACCCCTCACACGTTTCGTGGCCCCATAGGGAGCCCCAGCGAAGGCCCCAGTGCTGCCGCCCGCATGCGGCACGCACACCCAATTCGGCACACCCCTCACACGTTTCGTGGCCCCATAGGGAGCCCCACCGAAGGCCCCAGTGCTGCCGCTCGCATGCGTCACCCACACCCAATTCGGCACACCCCTCACACGTTTCGTGGCCCCATAGGGAACCCCACCGAAGGCCCCAGTGCTGCCGCCCGCATGCGGCACGCACACCCAATTCGGCACACCCCTCACACGCTTCGTGGCCCCATAGGGAGCCCCACCGAAGGCCCCAGTGCTGCCGCCCGCATGCGTCACGCACACCCAATTCGGCACACCCCTCATACGTTTCGTGGCCCCATAGGGAGCCCCATCGAAGGCCCCAGTGCTGCCGCCCGCATGCGTCCCGCACACCCAATTCGGCACACCCCTCACACGTTTCGTGGCCCCATAGGGACCCCCACCGAAGGCCCCAGTGCTGCCGCCCACATGCGTCCTGCACACCCAATTCGGCACACCCCTCAAACGTGTCGTGGCCCCATAGGGAGCCCCACCGAAGGCCCCAGTGCTGCCGGCCGCATGCGGCACGCACACCCCATTCGGCACACCCTTCACACGTTTCGTGGCCCCATACGGGAGCCCCACCGAAGGCCCCAGTACTGCCGCCCGCATGCGGCACGCACACCCAATTCGGCACACCCTTCACACGTTTCGTGGCCCCATAGGGAGCTCCACCGAAGGCCCCAGTGCTGCCGCCCGCATGCGCCACCCACACCCCATTCGGCACACCTCTCACACGTTTCGTGGCCCCATAGGGAGCCCCACCGAAGGCCCCAGTGCTGCCGCCCGCATGCGTCACGCACACACAATTCGGCACACCCCTCACACGTTTCGTGGCCCCATAGGGAGCCCCACCGAAAGCCCCAGTGCTGCCGCCCGCATGCGTCACGCACACCCAATTCGGCACACCCCTCACACGTTTCGTGGCCCCATAAGGGAGCCCCACCGAAGGCCCCAGAGCTGCCGCCCGCATCCGTCACGCACACCGAATTCGGCACACCCTTCACACGTTTCGTGGCCCCATAGGGAGCCCCACCGAAGGCCCCAGTGCTGCCGCCCGCATGCGGCACGCACACCCAATTCGGCCCACACCCCTCACCACGCTTCGTGGCCCCATAGGGAGCCACACCGAAGGCCACAGTGCTGCCGCCCGCATTGCGCACGCACACCCAATTCGGCACAGCCCTCAGACGTTTCGTGGCCCCATAGGAGGACCATCGAGGCCCCAGTGCTGCCGCCCGCATGCGTCCCGCCACACCAATCCGGCACACCCTCACACGTTTCGTGGGCCCCATAGGAGCCCCACCGAAGGCTCAGTGCTGCCGCCCACATGCGCTGCACACCCAAATTCGGACACCCCTCACACGCTTCGTGGCCCCACAGGGAGCCCCACCGAAGGCCCCAGTGCTGCCGCCCGCATGCGTCCCGCACACCCAATTCGACACACCCCTCACACGTTTCGTGGCCCCATAGGGAGCCCCACCGAAGGCCCCAGTGCTGCCGCCCGCATGCGTCCCGCACACCCAATTCGGCACACCCTTCACACGTTTCGTGGCCCCATACGGAGCCCCACCGAAGGCCCCAGTGCTGCCGCCAGCATGCGTCCCGCACACCCCATTCCGCACACCCCTCACGCGTTTCGTGGCCACATGGGGAGCCCCACCGAAGGCCCCAGTGCTGCCGCCCGCATGCGTCACGCACACCCAATTCGGCACACCCCTCACACGCTTCGTGGCCCCATAGGGAGCTCCGCCGAAGGTCCCAGTGCTGCCGCCCGCATGCGTCCTGCACAACCAATTCGGCACACCCCTCACACGTTTCGTGGCCCCATAGGGAGCTCCACCGAAGGCCCCAGTGGCGGCGCTCACATGCGCATGCGTCCCGCACACCCATTTCGGCACATCCCTCACAGCTTTCGTGGCCCCATCATCCACCGGAGGCCCCAGTGGCGGCGCTCACATGCGTCACCCACACCCACCCAATTCGGCACACCCCTCACACGTTTCGTGGCCCCATAGGGAGCTCCACCGAAGGCTCCAGCGGCGGCGCTCACATGCGTCCCCGCCGCCCATCCCAGCACGCCCCTCACAACAACAGGTTTCGTGGCCCCATAGGGAGCTCCACCGAAGGCCCCAGTGGCACCGCCCGCATGCGTCACCACCCGCACCCAATTCGGCACACCCCTCACGCGTTTCGTGGCCCCATAGAGAGCTGCACCGAAGGCCCCAGTGGCGGCGCTCACATGCGTCCCCGCCACACATCCCAGTACACCCCTCACGCGCTTCGTGGCCCCATAGGGAGCCCCACCGAAGGCCCCAGTGCTGCCGCCCGCATGCGTCACGCACACACAATTCGGCACACCCCTCACACGTTTCGTGGCCCCATAGGGAGCCCCACCGAAGGCCAAAGTGCTGCCGCCCGCATGCGTCCCGCACACCCATTTCGGCACACCCCTCACACGTTTCGTGGCCCCATAGGGAGCTCCACCGAAGGCCCCAGTGGCTGCGCCCGCATGCGGTTCCACCCCCCATTCTGGCACACCCCTCACACGTTTCGTGGCCCAATAGGGAGCTCCACCGAAGGCCCCAGTGGCTGCGCCCGCATGCGGTTCCACCCCCCATTCTGGCACACCCCTCACACGTTTCGTGGCCCCATAGGGAGCTCCACCGAAGGCCCCAGTGCCGCCGCCCGCATGCGTCAGCCACACCCAATTCGGCAAACCCCTCACACGTTTCGTGGCCCCATAGGGAGCTCCACCGAAGGCCCAAGTGATGCGCCCGCATGCGTCCCGCACACCCAATTCGGCACACCCCTCAACGTTCGTGGCCCCCGTGGACCCATAGGGACCCCCAAACGAAGGCCCCCAGTGCTTGCGCCCACATGCGTCACTGCACACCACAATTCGGCACACCCCTCACACGTTTCGTGGCCCCATAGGGAGCCCCACCGAAGGCCCCAGTGCTGCCGCCCGCATGCGTCCCGCACACCCAATTCGGCACACCCCTCACACGTTTCGTGGCCCCATAGGGAGCACCACCGAAGGCCCCAGTGCTGCCGCCCGCATGCGTCACGCACACCCAATTCGGCACACCCCTCACACGTTTCGTGGCCCCATAGGGAGCCTCACCGAAAGCCCCAGTGCTGCCACCCGCATGCGTCACGCACACCAATTCGGCACACCCCTCACACGTTTCGTGGCCCCATAGGGAGCCCCACCGAAGGCCCCAGTGCTGCCGCCCGCATGCGTCACGCAACACGCATCGGCACACCCATCACACGTTTGTTGCCCCATAGGCAGCTCCACCGAAGGCCCCAGTGCTGCCGCCCGCATTTGCGTCACGCACAAACCAATTCGGCACACCCCTCCACGTTCGTGGACCCATAGGGGAGCTCCACCGAAGGCCCCAATGGCGGCGCTCACATGCGCATGCGTCCCGCAGTCCCATTTCGGCACATCCCTCACAGTTTTCGTGGCCCCATCATCCACCGGAGGCTCCAGTGGCGGCGCTCACATGCGTCACCCACACCCACCCAATTCGGCACACCCCTCACACGTTTCGTGGCCCCATAGGGAGCTCCACCGAAGGCCACAGCGGCCGCGCTCACATGCGTCCCCGCCACCCATCCCGGCACGCCCCTCACAACAACAGGTTTCGTGGCCCCATAGGGAGCTCCACCGAAGGCCCCAGTTGCACCGCCCGCATGCGTCACCACGCGCACCCAATTCGGCACACCCCTCACACGTTTCGTGGCCCCATAGGGAGCTCCACCGAAGGCCCCAGTGGCGGCGCTCACATGCGCCCCCGCCACACATCCCAGTACACCCCTCACGCGCTTCGTGGCCCCATAGGGAGCTCCACCGAAGGCCCCAGTAGCGGCGCTTACATGCGTCTCCGCCACCCATCCCGGCCCCCCCCCCGCAGCAGCATGATGTTTCGGGGACCCATAGGGAGCTCCACTGGAGGCCCCAATGGCGGCCCTCACATGCGCTTCCGCCACCCATGTCGGCACGCCCCGCGCGTGCTTCATGTCCCCATAGGGAGCTTCGCCGAATGCCCCAGTGGCACCCATCTCGAAACACCCCTCACACGTTCCGTAGTCCTATGGGGAGTTCCACTGAAGATGAAACCCGCAGCTGCGGTACTGACAACTGCATATGGTTGGGTTCTTCGCCAGGCTAATTGTTTTTTCTTTCTGCCAAGTGATCAAGGATGCTCCTCGATGGTCCTCGCCGAAGGAAACATGCACACGTCCGAGCGATGCCAACATGATGGACACACACTGACGACTCTCTGCGCTCATGCTGCTATCTAGGGGCCACGGTTGCATCGCAGGGCGGGCGGGGGGCCGGGGAAGGGCATGCCGCTCCTTCACAAGAGCCTCGCCCCGATGTTGGCGGCCGCCGCGATTGCCGCGGCGACCTCACAAACCGACCACAGGAGGTCAACTTCGGGGTCGGACAACACGCAACGATTGCCCCTCCTGCCTCCTCCCCGATCAGCCACAACTGGGAGAGCTGTGCTCCACAATTTGAGGATATTCTGACCCGGGTCAAT